AAAAAAGACACGCTCTGTGTGCAGCAGTAAAACCGCTGTTTGAAACTTCAATGGAAATAATAGAGGTTGTATGCTGAAAAAAATGCTGCTAATTTTATAATCAGTGAAAATATGGCAAACTAAAAATGACAAACTTTGCCAAGCACAGTCTTAAAAGGAACTACTGCAATGCTCTTTAAGCAGAAGGAAATGTTTCCAGATTGTGAATCAGCTATGAAGGAGGGAATGAAAGAGCAATGTTGATGTAAATATGTGAGCAGATCTAAAGGAATCTTGACTGCATAAGGCAGTAATAATGACGATTGTTCATGGAATTTAAAATATACATGATGTTAGAATTCCCAACAGCATTTGCCTGTATGCTAGGAGAAGGTCAAATGTAATTACATTCTAAGACTTTACATTCTCTTAGAAGAGAGTGGAGATATCAGTAATATCAGACTTTGATAAGTTTGAGGATCTATGTTTTAATACTTAGGGCAACACTAAGATAATAATAATTTTTAAAATATAGGGTTATATGGAGTAATAATAATCAAGAGCAAGGTAAGAAGCGATCCAAAAGAAGGAATCAAAAGAAAGCAAGGAGGAAAAGACAGATATAGGACAGATGCTACAAATAAAATATCTATATAAGTTAGTCGATTTAAACACACATATATCACCAATTATATGATGGACTAAATGCTCCAAATTAAGATTGTTATACTGGGTTTGAACAAGAAATTAAAACTCTGGACTGTCTACAAGATGCTGGAAAAGACTGGAAAATGATATATGATATAAACACTAACCAAAGTGATGTTGGTATAATTATACTAATATCAAAGTAGATACAAAGGCAGAATGCATTATTAGAGATAAACAGGGATACTTCATAATGATTGAAAGTTCATTTTTGAACCTATTAGATACATAATAACATGGCCTTAAAGGTGTGTGTGTGTGTGTGTGTGTGTGTGTGTACATACAGAAGGAGAGAAAGTTCAGGATTACAGGGAGAAATTGACCAATTTACAGTAATAATGGAATAATAATGGGATAATACCAGCCACGGTTTTCACAATAGCTGATAGAACAGGCAAACAGAACACCCTATCATGACAAACAAAATGTGTCCAACGAATGGCCTGATGTTTATATTACAGAGCCCTGTGCCCAGCTACTACAGATTACACATTCTTTCTAAGCACAATGAAATGTTTGATAAAATAGACCATATATTGGGCTATAACAACAGATTGAAATCATTGCAACTACATATTGTCAGAAGTTAGAAATAAGTAATAAAAAGACAATTAGAATAACCGTATCAAATCAAATAAACAATCAAATAAAAACAACTCCTCTCAATAGCTCATGGATAATAATAGAAATGAGAAAATTATTTGACAGTGAATACTAATAAAAAGATTACAGTGAGGTTGATGAGATACAAAGATTTGATCAGAGCACGCTTGTTAACCTGAGTTAGGAAAAGAAGATGGTTGCAATATCTATGAGCAGCATGCTCACCCCCGAAGAGAGAAAAGGAGAAACAAAATAAATCCAACAGAAATGGAAGAGATCGGGGCACCTGGGTGGTTCAGTTGGTTAAGCGTCCAACTTCGACTCCGGTCATGATCTCACAGTTTGTGAGTTTGAGCCCCGCATCAGGCTCTGTGCTGACCGCTCAGAGCCTGGAACCTGTTTCGGATTCTGTGTCTCCCTCCCTCTCTGCTCCTCCCTCACTCATGCTGTCTCTCTCTCCCAAAAATAAATAAACATTTTTTAAAAATTTTAAAAAAAGAAATGGAAGAGATGAGGTGAAAAGTAATAGCAGAAAATAGTGAAATAGTAAATGAACATGCAGTTGAGTGATTAACAAAGAAAAAGTTGTTTTTTTTGAAAGTGGGATGTGATTGGTAGCCCCCTGGATGACTAAGAAATGAGGGAAGGGACAATCTGAAGGAAAAAGAGGCCATCACCATAGATCATATACACACAAAAAAGATCACAAAAGGATATTCTGAACAACTTAGTGCCAATTTGAAAATCTAAAAAGAAATGGGCATTTTATGTAAAAATCAGCACAGAGGATCTGGCACAAGATTTCAGAATAGGAATAAGACTATAAATTTAAAAATCTTGCTACAAACAAAATTCTGTATCTAGTTGGCTTTTCCCGTGAGCTCTACAAAGCAGTTAGTAAAGAAATTTAGCAAATTTAAACAAAATGTTTCACAGAGCAGAAAAAGAGGAAACAGTCATTAACTCATTATATTAGGTCAGGAAACTCTTAACCCTCAAATGCAAAATGAACGTTGTTACAAAGCAAACTTCAGGCCAATCTCATTCATCAACACAGAGGAAACACTCTAAGCACATTTTTAGCAAATTTATTTTAACAGCATACATAAAGAACGTTACCTTGTGGCCTAAGTTGGGTTTACATGAAACAATGCCAAGCTGCTTCCTATTAGATAATTCATTCTTTTATTTTGCATCAACAAACCAAAGGAGAAAAAATAATATATATATTCACCTCATAGACACCAAAAACCATGAACACCTAAACTAGAATTTTTTTTAAAATTTGTTTAATGTTTATTTATTTTTGAGACAGAGAGAGACAGAGCATGAATGGGGGAGGGTCAGAGAGACAGGGAGACACAGAATCCAAAGCAGGCTCCAGGCTCTGAGCTGTCAGCACAGAGCTCGGCGCGGGGCTCGAACTCACCGACCGTGAAATCATGACCTAAGCTGAAGTCAGACGCTTAACCGACTGAGCCACCCAGGTGCCCCAGAATTTTTTTTTTTAAACTTCCTTTAAAACTACGAATGTAAGGGAACATCCTTAATCTGATTTTTAAAAATCTATCTTTAGAAACCTGTAGAAGAAATAACACACTCAAGACTGAACTCTTAAACCTTAGGGTTTAAACTCTTAAACCTTTCCTTGGTTTTGAGGGAGAGCCAAAATCTCAATAGAGTTTCATTTTTTGCTGAATCTGTTTATAATGTTGGTAGGGAAATGTAAAGACTGACTAATAGTTAAGACACTCTTGTCCCAAGCAGGCTCCACTCCCAGCACAGAGCCAGATGTGGGGCTCAATCCCATGACCTTGGGATCATGACCTGAGCTGAAATCAAGAGTCGGATGCTCAACCGACTGAGCCACCTGGGCACCCCCCATACTATTTTCTTGATGGGGTGAAGGTGGTATGGATATGCGCTTTACATGTATATTCTATACTTTTTACTATACATGTGTTATAGTTGAGAATTTTTTTTTAAAAAACCTTAATTCCAGCTGGAATAAAGAAACATGAAGTAGACTATTTAGAAATAGAGTAACTTTTTATGTCGTGTAAATAGATGGAATTTATTAGGCTCATGGAACCAAACAAAAGAAAAATATAAAATAAATACACATAAAAATAAAATAAAAATATAAAATTGTTAAATATAATTTGTGAACGTGTGTGGAGTCAGGATAGGGGTCACGATTGGTAAAGTATTTGGAAGATTTGGAACTAGAAAACCAGAGTTCATGTCTCATTTCTTTCTCTAATGTGTGACCTTGGGGGCAGGTCACTAATCTATCTGAACCTCAGTGTTCTCATCTGTAATATGGACCTTATAGCACCTCCTCTTTTTTTATTGGTATAGTTTTGAGGATATGAAGACCTAAGGAGACAATGTGTGTGAAATACTTTGTAAACTTTAAAGTTCTTTGCTAAGTTTCCTAAGACTAGAACTAGTATTTGTGTCCCTAATACTGTGGAAGACAGTGGCCAGATATTCGGCTGTTTAGACACCCTGGAAGGCCACTTGTCCCCTATTATCTCTGTCCAAGGAGAGAATAAAGTAGATTAACGTTGACCTCCAAGGGGTATTTTTGGTAATCAAAACATATTCCAGGCTCAGAAGCAAGAGGTTTTGTTTAGCTGATCATTTTTTATAGACTTTTCATGTAATATTTATGAATTTGTTTTTTACAGGCACTACCCTTACTGTAGACTGCAATATAACAGACACAAGGGATAATACAAATCTCCGATCCTGGAGAGTCAATGACACCTTGGTGGATGATTACTACAATGAATCCAAACGAATCAGAGAAGGATTTGAGTAGGTGTTGTGTTTTTCTGACTTCCCTAAAAGTTGGCAAGAATTTCTTCATTTAAATTATTTTGGGGGCGCCTGGGTGGCTCAGTTGGTTGAGCGCTGACTTTGGCTCACATCAAGATCTCGCAGTCCGTAGGTTCGAGCCCCATGTGAGGTTCTGTGCTGACGGCTCAGAGCCTGGAGCCTGCTCCAGATTCTTTGTCTCCCTCCTCTCTCTGCCCCTCCCCCACTCATGCTCGCTCTCTCTCTCTCTCTCTCTCTCTCTCAAAAATAAAATAAACATGAAGTGTTTTGATGCTAGTACTGCTTTTTTTAGATGCTTCTCACTGATCCCTCATTACTCCTTTTGGCTTTGTCTCTCAAAGATCTTGCCAGTGCTATGCACGGCCAAACCTTCTTGAATCAGGGGGGTGTGAGGTGTTCATGTTATCAATCCTGCTTACACCCTAGTCAGACACATGAGGCAAAGCATCAAGTATGCCCTTCATGCAACAAGATCAATTTCTCCCAACTTAAAACCAGCCTCATTCCTGTTTAGTTATATCATGAGCTATAGACCTTCTAGGCTTCAGTAGCAAAAGAGGCAGCAACACGGGGACTCTTAGGGGAGATAGGACTTAATCATTAGCTAATTGAGTGGTATAAACCCAATTTGTGATTGTTTAAATTGGGTGGTATAAATCAAGACTACTGAAGGAGAGGGCAGGAGAAATTGTGTTGAACCCTGCAGGGTTGATAAGTTAGGATAAGTGGAGGGGACCAGGCCAAGGCTCTGGAGGGCTGATGATGCTATCTGTAATTAACAGAGCCACACTTCCTTGTCACCTTCCAGAAGAAAATGAAAAATTTCCACACACCTCACTGAGCCACTCTGTGAAGCCTTCTTAGGGTAACAGGATGGCCCAAAGTGTTCTCTGGGAGAGACTTTTTATTCTCAACGTTTATTTATTTTTGGGACAGAGAGAGACAGAGCATGAACGGGGGAGGGGCAGAGAGACAGGGAGACACAGAATTGGAAACAGGCTCCAGGCTCCGAGCCATCAGCCCAGAGCCCGACGCGGGGCTCGAACTCACAGACCGCGAGATCGCGACCTGCCTGAAGTCGGACGCTTAACCGACTGCACCACCCGGGTGCCCCGAGACTTTTATTCTCTAGACTGAAGATGGTACAGTAGGTTGGGTAAATATGACTCATGTGTAACTGGGTGGTTCTTTTCTTTTACAGATCTCACATTTCTTTTCAGAAACATATTTTTTACACAGTGAACATAACCTTCTCAGAAGTGAAAATGGAAGATTATGGCCATCCTTTCATTTGCCATGCTGGAGTGTCGGCAGCGTACTTTATTTTAAAACTCCCAGGTAGTTGTTCGGTGGGGTACATGCTGTTTGGAGGGCTCAAAACAATGACAAGGAGACACATATGAAAACAGCATGGTTGGGGCGCCTGGGTGGCGCAGTCGGTTGAGCGTCCGACTTCAGCCAGGTCACGATCTCGCGGTCCGTGAGTTCGAGCCCCGCGTCGGGCTCTGGGCTGGTGGCTCGGAGCCTGGAGCCTGTTTCCGATTCTGTGTCTCCCTCTCTCTCTGCCCCTCCCCCGTTCATGCTCTGTCTCTCTCTGTCCCAAAGGTAAATAAACATTGAAAAAAAAAATTTAAAAAAAAAAAAAAAAAGAAAAAAAAAGAAAACAGCATGGCATTAAGCACTTGGCATGAGGCAGCAGAGTGATAGTCAGTAGAAGAACTCAGCATTCATTTCCTGTTTGGAAATGTGATGGTTTTAAACTCATTTCCAGAGCAGAGAATATCAACACTCCTGAAGGCCATCACTCCTGTCTACATGCCAGGGGCTTTATGAATCTCATAAATATTGCACGACATGGTCTTCTTATCATGATCATTACAGTATCAACATCCGTGAAGTCTATACATTACAGGTTCCCAGACATGGGTCCCCCAAAGGGAGGGGTGGCGTTGTTGTTCCAAGAGTTGGGGAAGGACAAAGAGAAGTGGAGGATGGATGGGAAGGGCGGATCTATCTAACAGAAGCTAGAGGTTCAAACAGATGGTCAGGATGAGATTGGGCACCAGCGTGCAGAGCAGATCCGCTTGGTTGTGCTGGGATTTAATCAATGGGCTGCTATTTCTGTTGACCCAGAATGTGTTTTAGTCACGATGCTTTGTTGTGCCATTTATTTAAAGACATGCAGTGGTGCATGGAGATGTCTTCCACCTCAGACTGTTTGCAGTATGGTGTGACTTAGGGCAGGTCGTGATAAGATCTTTAAGGAGTATTTAAAAAAAGGAATGTGCTCTGGGAGTTCAAAGAAAAGAGAACCCCCCCGTATACCTACCCGCCCCTCCCAGCCAGGCCATCCCCCCCCCACACACACACACCTTCTAGTGGGGACTAGAGCATCAGGAAGGGGCTGATGAAGGAAGTGGTGTATGCGGTGGGTTCTAAGAAAGGAGAGACTTTCTCTTCCTCTGTCCTCTTCCACTTTTCGAATTCTCCCCTTCCTAGAGCCTCCTTCCTTCCGTGGCAGCACTGATTTGGGCTGTGGTAAGGGAGAAGGCTGTGTTCCTCTTCTTGGTGGTGGTGGTGGTGGCAGCGGTGATGTGGGAGCATGTCTTTAGTGACTTGACATTCCAGAGGAACTGGTTCTGCTTCTCGGTCATCTCCCACCCACTGCTTTTGCCATAATTGCTCCGCAGTGGTGTTCACAAGCAGAGCAGGGGTAGATGCCCTTTCTGAGATCGTGCCTTGCAGGCAGGCCCCCAACCCAGACCTTGCCGGCACAAAGGGGGCAGTCTGGCTCTCTGCCAGCCTTATGGAGACAACAGAGTTGGCTTTCAGGGGAGGCCGTTGACGGCTCTTTATGACAGACATCCTGCTGCTCAATTTTTGGTGCCTGTGGAAGCAGTTATAACAGGAATAATCAGGAATGTGCAAGAGAACCACCAGGTCTTCCAATACACACGCTTAGGCTCTACCTCTGGAGAGTCTAGTGTTGACTAAGTAAGACCTGGTTGTGTGTGTTTTGGGAGCAGTTCTCATGCATAGGAACCATGCCGTATCCACCATCAGAAGCGAGAGTTCTGCAGGATTTCCTTCCCCAGGTTCCCAAGAGCACATTTGCTTCCTGAAATTCATGGTCCACGCTAGATTATTCTACTCCCATATACCTGTTATTTAACTGTAAAAAAAATATTTAAGCAGTATCCTCATTGACCTCTCACACATTTCCATTTGGTATTTGTAATGTGATCTGTGAGCCTTTGTATTATGATTATTATCTGATTATTTATGTATTTATTTGCTGTCGTTTGTAGCCCCGGATGTTCAAGCTTACTTGATAGGAGGGCTTGTCACCCTGATAGGCGCAGCAGTGTCTGTCACGTACATCTACAACATTTTTAAGATTGACATTGTTCTCTGGTATCGAAGTGCCTTCCTTTCTACTGAGATCAAAGAAGGTAAGTGTGGGTAACCAATGAAAAATGCCTCATACTTGGTTGTTGCTCATCCGTATACCCATTGTAAATATACTTTCACATATTTTACTAGCTTGCCTTTCATGTTGTTGGCAAATTGGAAAGAAGGAATCTTCCTGGAACTTCTCATGCTTCAGGGAAACAATTGGTCTGTGGTCACCAGCGTTGTTCAGTTAAATAAGGCTTGCAGGCTAGTGGTGACTGAGCAAACATTTGCAAAGCAACAGGAGCAAATCATCTTCCAGGTCCTACTGTGACCATTTTAGAGCCATTCTCACATCTTCTGGTGTTTCCAAAAGAAGACAATTTCTCCTGGAGTGACAAAGGGCTCCCCATCTGCGATGCATCTTCAACATGGTTGGCACATGAACAGAATTTACATCATGAGGAGTGATGAGCTGACTGCGGCTGGAGCTCATTCTAGGCCCTGTGCTTGGTACCTGAAAGATTTAAGAGTCAGAGGACTCTCAAGGCTGGAGAGAGACCTGGGTTTGCATTTGGCTCTCTACTTACTCCCGTGTGATCTTAGAAAGTATTTAAGGTTCTTCTCTCTCTGGGCAATAGAATGGAAAGAAACATGAAGGAAGGAAGGAGAGAAGGGAGGAAGGAAAGAAGGAGAGAGGGAAGGGAGGAAGGAGGGAGGGAGGGAGGGAGGGACGGAGAGAAAATGATCAGAGCCTGCCTCACAGAGTATTGTAGGAACAACTGAGTTCAAGTCCAGGAAAGCACTGAGCAAGGACCTGGGGCACAAGGGGCATCTTGTTGTCTGGAGGCCAAAGCCTTCAGCTGCCCCTGCCACTCTGCCCTGGGTTTCAGTTTGGTCTGCGAAGCGTCTGTCCTGCCAGCACTACTCAACACACAAATGCCTGTGAGATTCTGAAACTCCGAGGAGAAGGCATTTCCCACCATCATGGGTTGTTTTTTTTTTTTTTAAATAAAGTTTATTTATTTATTTTGAGAAAGAGCTAGAGAGCGAGCAGGGGAGGGGCGGAGAGAGGGAGACATAGAATCTGAAGCAGGTCCCAGGCTCTGAGGTGTCAGCACAGAGTCTGACGTGGGACTTGAGCTCACCAGCTGAAGTTGGATGCTCGACCGACTGAGCCACCCAGGCACCCCTGCATTCTCTTTTGGTGGCACAGCTCAGTCGCGGAAACCTGACTCTGTGTGTCCAGCGCAGCCTGAAGCGCCTCTGGGTTGCGGACAGTCAGCTGAACGTGGGGTTTCTCTTTGGGGCTGCAGTCCCTGCAGTCTCCCTGTTGGCCGCGCTCCTGCCTGCCTGTGTGGGGCAGGGGACCAGTGCATCACCACTTGTCTTTTCTGACACCCACACGTGAGTGGTCCAGCTGCCCTCTGTTTACTGCCTGACAGGGAACTGCAGAGACTTCAGTGGTGTTTCCAGATCTCTGGCCCTGGTGTGTGGCTCACTCCCGGACTCACTGGGACTCCCAGGAGTCTGAGAGCTGAGGGCCTGTGCAGCTGTCGGCTGGTGAGGTGGAGTTTAGCAGGAAGAGATAAAAGGAATAGTGACTCACCCAGAGCGGGGGGAGCTGAGCAGATGACAGACTCAGGGAGCCCCACCCTCTGCTGGGAGCAGGCTACAGCCCAAATTCGGGCTGAGAATTTGGACATCGGGGCTCATAGTCAAGCCAGGGTTCTATTTTTTTCTTAATTCCGAGGAGTACTTGCGTACTTTATGATTAATCTCTACAGCTCCGTCTATGAGAACTACCCCTGTAATTCCTCTCTGAGTGTTGGCTTTGACAACGAGTTAGCGATGAGACTTACGATTTGTCCCAGATGTTATTTCCAAGCATTGTATCCCTTAGGGATATTTCCTGAGTTATTTGGGAACTGTGGAGTAATGGGTGGCAAATATAAATGAGGAAATAGATGAAATGTGTCTTTCTTATGATAAGTTATTTACTCCAATGTGATTAGTTATGCTTTATAACATGAGTAATAGTTAGGTGTGTATAACTCAGTTTTATTGAGTCATCGACAGCCCTAATATCCATGAGTTCTGTATGTTCTCTATTAAATTATAGGAGTTACTTTAAAAATTTTCCTTCCAGGCTGTGCAAGTGTGTGTAAGAATATAAGAGTGATCTTACCCATCTCCTAGAGAGATTTGTGTATGCCTCACCTGCTTCCAAATAGGTTTGTGGAGAATACAACAATGAAAAACAAACAAAGCAGGTACAGTGAACAGAGGGTAGAACGATAAAATAAAGCTTGGGGGTAGAATTAATGACAAATCTTGGACACTTTTTAAAGATGAGCTTGTTTTAGAAGTAAAGGCAAAGCAATGACAAGATTCATTGTGTGCTTCTCACAAATACCCTTCAGTTGCTCGTGACAGCACATGGCTTTGTCTGGGACAATTTTCCAAGGAAAAGTTTTTGTAGGGAGGCCTTATTTTTAAAGGGTGTAATATAATGAACCTTGTCTGCAACAGCCTTCCCATGGTAAATGTAATAGCATGTTTAATGTGGCTTTTCTTCTAGTGTCTTTCATGTTAAGGCTAAAATGCCAAACCTCATGCAATTTAGTAAAAACACCTGAAGGCCAGATGGATTCTATCTGATTTCTCCATTGGTCCAGTTTGATCAGGTTGGAGATTTAGCAATAATATAAGAAAAGAAAGTAAGGGCTTGAATAATGTTTAAGTGATCTGTCATAAATATTAATTTATGCAAACAAACTTTGTATTTTTTGCCGAGAGCCAATAAAACCACATGCAGATGCTTTAACATCGAAAGTAGGGCTGAACCTCCTCAGGAAATTAAAAAAGTGTGGCCAGAATCTACATGAAGTCTTACCTCACCACTATATAGAGGCAGGCTATGGGGGTATCTGCCAGCAGGCCACTTTCTCAAAAAACTTACTAGTAGGTCTACATTTCCACAATTTTTTAGTGAAATAGACAGTTGGGGGGAGTGTCCAACTCATCATTATCTATTGCCATTCATTGTCACTTTCCCAATTGCTGTTCCATTTACTATGGCTAGGAAGCAAATTGCCTTGAAACTTTGTGGCACAGGGCAGCCATTTGTATTGCTAATGGGTTCTGTGGGTCAGGATGTGAACAGACACAGTGGGGATGGCCTGTCCCAGCTCCATGATGTCTGGGGACCCAGCTGGAGGACTGGCAGTTGATTCTGGCCATCAGCTGGTGGCCTCGGTTTCTCTCTCAACAGCCTCTCCTTGTGGTCTCTCAGTGTGGGCTCCTGAAGCCCACAGGAGCCCACACAGCGTGGTGATTGGCTTCCAACGGCTAGTGTTTCAAGAACAAGAGAGCCAGGAAAAGCCATATTTTCTCTTATGACTCAGACCCTAAATTTCTAGTGTCAATTCTACCACATTCTATTTGCCAAGGCAGCTATAGAGTCCTAGCCAATTTTAAGGGAGTGGAAGTAGATTCCACCTCTTTGTGGGGGGTGTGGTCCGTTCTGAAAGAGCATGTGGAACTGGAAATACTGCTAGGGCTATTTTTGTAAAAAATGCTGTCTGACACACTTGCACGAGACTAATCAGGGAGAAACTTTGTGAAGTTTCCTCCTCCCAGTTCTCATCTCAGCCACACCAGAGGGGCGGTGGGCTTGGGTTTGACTCAAAGCTGTGCATTTGGCAGCTGAAAGACTGGAGAAATAACGCGGCCTTGTCTGTCTCAGCTTCCTTACCTGCAATCTGAAGGTATAAACGTGACCCTTACTGTGACTGTGAGAGACACAACCGTGCAGTGCTGGCAGGCAGTCCGCTAAGATGGCCCTTCAAAACTGCAGGCGGATGCGAAAAGCAAAATGGCGTCAGCTTGGTTTTTTGCTATATCGGGTCAATCAGTTATGAGTTGATCATTTGGAAGTGACAAGAGCCCACTACGTTTTGAGAACAAGTCGTGAACATAAGCATTTCTACTCAAAAGCTTCGAAAGAAAAAAAAGATGACTGAAAAATTGGGAGCATTTTATATTTTGAGTTTTTAAAAAGTGTGAGTCCTTCGCTGCCCAAGTCTCTTCTGTCCCGAAGTCTGCACGTTGCACAGCACAGAGCAGCTGTATGTTCACACTCCTCATATAAAAACACGGAATTGGAACGCTGTCAAAAGAGAGAATTCAGGGGGCGCCTGGGTGACTCGGTTAAGCGTCTGACTTTGGCTCAGGTCATGATCTTGTGGTTCGTGCGTTTGAGCCCTGCATCGACCTCTCCACTGTCAGCACAGAACTTGCTTCAGGTTCTCTGTCTCCCTCTCTGTCTGCTCTTCCTTTCACACACACACTCTCTCTCAAAATAAATAAATAAATAAATAAACATTAAAAAAAGAGGAGAGAGTTCACTTAACATAGTTTTTCATTTTGTTACTTTATTTTATTTTGTTTTGTTTTATTTTATTTTATTTTATTTTATTTTATTTTATTTTATTGTTTGTATGAGAAGGAAGAAAGAGAAACAGCTTGAGGGAAGAGAGACACCAGTGGTAGGGGTTCTGACAGAGGTGGTGATGAACATGGATGTTCATTGTAGTTTCTAGACCAAGAAATACTGTATTCAGTGGGGAGGCTCTGTTATGTGGCAAAGAAAGTACCAAGCCAACCACCCCTTTACCATAAAAAGGATAAATATTATCATAGTTTTAAGTGAGAAGATTTAATTCCTTTCTAAAGTGTTTAAAAGCATAAAGCCTTTATGAAATCTTAAAAAAAAAAATTCACATGTCCCCCAGCTTTAGAAAATCAAGTGTATGACATTAAATTTGATACAGAAAAGAATCCACTTATGGAGTAGCGGTATAGACTAGTAACATTGAAGACATTGCACAAGGAGTTTTAGCTCGGTTGGGTTTTTGCCAACTCTAGACGCAAATTAATCATCCCTTTGGCACGTGACTTATGACCCTGATTTATTAAAAAGCAAAATCTGCTCATGATCTAAAACTTCTCTCTCTCCTACATAGATGTAACCTCCTTGAGCCTCTGCAAAATCAAGCCCCATGCAGATATTTGGCAGTGACTGATGGAGACCTCCTCTGTCCGTGTTCAGTGTGCTCCAGACACTGAAGATAGAATCACACCAAAAGAAGCCCCCATTTTCACACAGTTTCCTTTTGTTACAGGGAGTGGAGAGACTGAGGAAGAGTGTGCCTGTGTGCACATGTGTGTATATCACCGTTTTCCACAGGATGACCAGGAAGGGTAGGCAGAGACCAGAAGGTTGTCAGTGGTTGGGGTGAGAATTTATGGAAAATGAGAAAAGGCTACATGGAAACTCTAAAGTTCTGTGCACATTTTCACTACAGATCTTCCTTGATTTATGATGGGGTTGCATCCCAATAAACCCATCATGAATTAAAAATATCATAAGCTGAAAATGCATTCAATGCACTTAACCTGCAGAACAGGATAGCTTAGCCCAGCCCACCTTAGACGTTCTCAGAACTCTTACATTAGCCTACAGTTGGGCAGAATCATCTAACACAACACCTATTTTATAATAAAGTATTGACTGTCTCATGTGATTGACTGGATATGGCCTTGAAAGTGGAAAACAGCAGGTGTATGGGTACCGCATGGTTGTCTGTATATGGATTGTTGACCCTCCAGATCACGTGGCTGACTGGGACCTGTGGCTTTTGGGTCTGCCCAGCATCAGAGAGAGAGGAGAGGAATACATATCACTAGTCTAGAAAAGATCAAAATTCAAAATGTGAAGTATGGTTTCTCCTGAATGTGTATAGCTTTCAGACCATCATAAAGTCAAAAAATCATCAATCGAACCATCCTAAGTTGGGGGACAGTCTTTAGACAAAAACTAAACGAATACAAAATTCTACCTTCTTTTGTTGGGCTTAGAGCCACCCCTCTTTTCAAGTCTATTCAATCCAAAAAACTTCCATAAAAGAGGAATAGAAAGGAATGGCTCTCTCTTCGGTTCCTGTTAGGTTGGCCAGGAATTTCTTAATAGCCCGAAGGTCAAAAATCACATTTTCTTTTCTTTTTTTTTTTTTTGAGTTTATTTTCATTTATTTTGAGAGAGACAGAGACAATGCGAATGGGGGAGGGGCCTTGAGAGAGAGAGAGGAGACAGAAAATCCCAAGCAGGCTCCGAGATCCAGCGCTGGAGCCCGATGTGGGGCTCAAACTCAGGAAACCTCGAGATAATGACCTGAGCCGAAACCAAGAGTCGGATGCTTAACCGAATGAACCACGCAGGCACCCCTCAAAAATCACATTTTTCTAATGAGATGGTCACTCAAGGCTTCTAGCATGCTAAAGCTTCTTACTTGTTCATATGACCCCTGAGTAGAGCATAAACATTCCCCTTCCATGCCCTTCTCAAACTCTTTCTCTCCTTGATCTCTTTACCCTCCGCTACCAGCCCATTTTTTTCCTTAAGTCCGTTAATATCCAGGAGCTGCCCTACATCCTTTGTGAATTTTTCTCAAGAGCTCCAGGCCGTGGGGAAGTTTCTTTTCTTTCTGTTTCTCCAGTTCATGAGGCCATTTGTTATCTTGCAATGCCTCGTGTTTCTATTTCCAAGTCTGTGAATGGTTTTTCCAGTTAGATGTGTCTTGTTCATCTGTACGCAGGTGAGCACAGTGACTGTTACATGTGGTTAGTTGCTCAATAAATGCTTGGCTCATCCTGGTGATGACGAAATGTGCTGCCGTGTTTGGCTTCTCAGTTTCACACAGGAAGTTCCTAGAGTCTGCTCAGAGGCTTGGTCTCTAGAGTGCTATGCGCAATTGCAGTGATGGAATTCATTAATGGGTCTGAATTGTGAGAGACTTGGTCGGTTTTGCCAGGTACAGTTACGAAAGTCCGCCATTGCACAGGACCCATGGAAACTCCTGCCTTCAGTTCTCATTTTCACCACAGGGAGTGGTGGACTTAGAGTCAAAGGAGTCAGGTTGCAGTTGGGGCTGTGTCATCTTGGAGAAGTGATGCTTATGTAATGGTGAAAAGACCATCCTCCTCATAGATCGATGTCCATGGGGTAGGAAACTGAACTGTAATTGACAAATCACTGGAGGCTCAATACGGACAAATCTGAGACTTAAAATCTTCACAGGGACCTAGTCAGAAGGGGTCAAAACCCACACTTTTGTGAGTGTTACCTCCTGGAAGCCTGACCTGGCTCATAGTAAATATCCTGCCCCCAGAAGGGGGAGGAGAAAAATCATTCTGAAATATCCTAGAGCACTGTGTTCTTATTAACAATGCCTGCCCTCAGGATAAACTAGTTAATGAAAGTCTTATCTGCTAGGGTGTTATCAGAGCCTAACTGATCTGTGCAGAGAGAAATACCCAACTCCGGCCCAATCTAGCCATCCTGCCCCACCTAAGTGGGGATAAAAAACTGAGCAATGCTTGTGAAGTTCATAATCCAGAGTCACTGAAGGACTGAGATCTAATCATAGGGACCATAGACTGCACACCTCACCACCTTGTTACTAAAGGGCGTTTTTGTTTTTTTTTTAGTACTTTCTTTTATCTGGCACATTCTATCCAGCTATCAGGAAAAAGTATGAGTCATATTAAAAGGCAAAAACACAATTCGAAGAGACAGCAAACATCAGAGCCAGATATGGCAGGAATGTTGGCATTATCAGACTGGGAATTTAAAATATTCCTGATTAGACTATAGATGCTGGCGAGGATGTGGAGAAACGGATACCCTCTTGCACTGTTGGTGGGAATGCAAATTGGTGCAGCCACTGTGGAAAACAGTGTGGAGGTTCCTCAGAAAATTAAAAATAGACCTACCCTATGACTCAGCAAT